CCGTGGCGAGCGGCGGCGATGCTCACGCTGCCGACATTTCGCACCGCCGCCCCCCGCCGCACCCCCCAGCTCAGAGGGAGCGAGTGACTCACGGCGATCTGCTTTTATTTTTACTTTTTTCCATCCCTTCTACTAATCCAGTCTGCCGCCATCGCCTATGCTAATGCCGGCGCTGAGCTCAGCGAGTGCTAAATGGCACTTGCTTTGTAGCCCGGTGCTGCGGAGCTGGCGGGGACCGGGGCAGGGGCCCGGTGGCACCCCCGGTTTCCATCGGCAAGAATGGGGGGCGGGGGGCAGCCCTCCTCAGTCCCCTCCCCGCCCAGGGACGCAGGACGTTGTTGGGGACAACTCCATGGAAATGCAGGGCTGCTTTCCTTGGGAAGGGAAGGGAGATAGGACAGGCCCGGGGTGAGTTGGTGGAAAACTTCAGCCTAGTTCCTGGCCTCCTTTCGGCTCTGACTCCTCCTGCTGGGAAGAGAGTCTGGCCTGAGCTGGGGCTGGAGAGCTCCTTAGAAGAAAACTGCCTTTCAGCGGTCATGAAAGGCTCCATGCCTTTATGTTTCTCCTCCTGGAAAGCGGTGCCTTCCTGTGCCTTTGACAAGAGCAGCGGCTGCCTGACAGTCTTGTTCTGTCCCCACTTCGGCAGCACGCACACTTGCCCTCACAGTGATACTGTAATAATCCTGCCCATCTCTTGCTTTTTGCCTGCAGAATCAAGTTGCTATTGTAAAGACCCACTGCTTGAAACTTCCCCAAGCCCAGTTGCCAGACTCATGATGCTGCAGAAACGTCAATACATACTGCCACCAAACTGCTCAGCTCTGCATTTCAGTGTAATGACTCTGGCAGAGATGCTGTTCCAACAGTCACGGCCCTCAGTTGCAAAAAAAAAAAAAAAGAAAAAGAAAAGGGAAAAAAAAGAGGGCAGCCTCGAATCAAGGTCTATAATTCGTCTGGATTGAAGAAAAAGTTTGAGAGCAAACTCCATTTATTTTGCAGGCTTAACTTTTTAAATTGTTCTCCGGCCGGTTGTAGGGGTGTGCACAAGAGCACAGTTGTCTCTGTCTGTGTTAGTAACGTAGCTGTACTTCTGCACACCTGTAATTTCTTTCAGTGGAAAGAGTTGCTCACTCCGCTTAGGAGGCCCAGAGGAGAAAAATGGGAGCATTTAAAAACAGGAGCATCACAGTAAACAGGAGCATCTGCAGATGACTCCTTCAGCCAAACACATGTGAGAAGTAGCAGTGTGCAAAAGTTTTAATTGTATTTCCAAACAATAGCAAATGCAAATTCTGTAGAAACAAGAGTTGTAGACCTGTTCAATTGCACTGCATATCTATAGTCTGTCCTCATAGTTGCCTTTATAAAGTAAATACTTCTTACTACTACTCCATAACCCAAGAGCAGAAGGCAAGGAGTCCAATAACCTTTTCCACAAACCAGCTGGGATTAGAAGTAGCAGTTTGATGTTGTAACCGAGTTTTCCATTTTGTGTCAGTTGCACACCCTTACCGCATGAAGTACTGCAAAATTTAGAATCCTCTAAATAACTACATTATTTATGGTCTATTTTGTAGAGAAGTGAAGCAGTTTGCTCTTCAAGAGCTATGTCACCTGCAAAATAAATACTCATAAATTGTGAATTAACTGATGTTAGCAAAATTACTCTTCTCTCTCCTTCCCCTCCCTCCCCCATATTTTTTTCCCTCTCTTTTTGATCAGACCTTAAGACAACTCCAGGTATATTCAGCAGGCAGAGTAAAAGTTTCAGGATATGATCCACCTGCTGTGATAGAACTGCATTGATTGTTCCTCCTATGTGTAAATGAAAATGAGTATAAACAATAAAATGCTTTACTGTGTTCTCAAAAGTCTGTGGTAGCAATTGTGTTCCTGAAAGGAGTACTTATTGGTTTACCTGGCTTCTCGGTATTGACTCTTTAGGTAAAGCTGATTTGATGAGTCACTCAAAAAAGCAATTGCCCAGGGCTGAAATTGCCAGTTTTAATCAGCAGTCAGATTTCTAATAGGCAGTTTCACTTTTATCCTATCTTCTTACCATTGCTATACCACTCCAAATTAAACTGTTAGGTGTTTTAACAAATATTTATCCATTCAAAGCAAACAAAACTTATTTTGGCACTTGGTGAGTGCTGTAACTAATATTTTAAAATGCTACATTTGTATGCTAGATGGGGTCTGTCTTACAGACTGGGAGAATGTTACATGGTTTATCTACCCTTTATTCTTCAGAGACTCATTTAAATAAGAAGGATTTATTTATTTAATTGATCAGCAAAAAGAGAACCTGAGCCTTTGTGCCTTCAAAACTCCCATTCACTGTGAAGTGGAAGATGTGTCTATGCAGAGGAAACAAGCCTGAAAGATACAACCTGAAGTAATGAAAAATAAACATTTTTTCAGCAATTCTGAGAAATCCAGACTTGCCTCAAAATTGCATGCCTCTGTAAATAGCATACTAATATACTATAATTCTAGAAAGTAACCTCTTAAATTTTTAAAGATGAGTGTAATTAATTTTGTAACACTAGTTTTAATGACTGAAGTGCTTACATTCCTTCTAAATTTAACTTTTTATGTACGCGCATTGAAGAAAGCAAGAAAGATGGCATCTTAGAGCTCATAACCTATTCTCTAATTCATTATTTTTGAAGCTTATAATCATAGGATGAATTTTATTTACCTCAAATTCTCAGTGAAATCAGTAGGCTTCCTAGGTACATACAAAGTGGAAAAATAGGCCATTAGGTTAATACTTACAGCACTTCCACAGAGAGTTTTCTATCAGTTTTACCAAGTTATGTAACTTGCCCCCAGAAAATGACACAGATGGAGAGAAGTTCAGGATTGGACTTTCCTGGTTCTCACACTGCTAAACTTACTGTGCTTATCTTCAGCATCTGCCCAGAGATAACTACCAACTCCTGTTTGTGGCATGAAAGTTTTGCGAAGAGGTAGTGAGACTAATTTATCAAGAAATTATTCTTCCAAGCTGAGGCTCAGAACTTGCTATACAACCCTTTCACATAACCGTGTTCATCGTTGTGAAGACAGTGTGGAAACCATGCTGAATAAATTTGGGCCAGAGGAGAAGAACAAGGTTAACTGGAGCACTGCTGAATTATACACCAGTTAAAGCACTTGCTTTTAGCTGAGTGGCCTTGTGTAGTTCTGTAGTCTGTAGAAAGTCATTCCACAGAGAGACAGGTAGAGTAAGGACACCCTTCGGTGTGAGGACACACATCACAGTGGAAGAGAAGTAATGTAGGGCACACACTGCTGGCTAATAAAACTGCAAAAAATGTTCCAAAATGAAAAGATTTGCCTTGCTAGGAAGGATGGTCCGTATGAGGTATTAACATGGTGTTAACTTGTGGAGCCTGCCGGGGCTGAACCAAGGGTTTCAAAGTCTTTAGGAGCCAGGGAGCTGCCATAAAGTTTTGACTCTTTTCTGAAGCTCCCAAGGAACACCCAGGGTGTGGGATGTTGTCCTTCTGCCTCTTCACTCCCTTGCTGTGTTTGGTCACTACTCTCTGCTGCTGGGAGGATGGAAGATCTGAAATTTTCCCTAGAAGCTGTCCTTTCAGTACCTCCTGTGTCCATGTTCCCATGGCAGGGGCTCAGAGGAGGCTGGCTCTGCATTGTTTTATCATGTGAATCTCTTCTTGAGTCTACAGGTAAGTTCCCTAAAATTCCAAAGGTGCTTAAGCTTGTTGCAGGCTTTCATTACAGAAGCAGCATGTTTTGCATTTATTTATTGCATTGGCCTGAACAGTATTAGATGATGTCATGAAAAAATATCTGCTGGGCACATTTATAAACCTCATAACTTCCCACATTTCATGGTAGGCGTATGTGCATGGTGGTGTTGCTGAAGGACAGGCGTGCTCCTGAAGACATTTGTGACTGTTCACAATGGCTGCAGTTGAAGGAATGGTCATTCACAGCCCCAAAGCTGTACTACTACTAGCACTTGTATTTCTCATGTTTGGCTGCAGAAAATATGGCCAAGCAGCATGGCTGAAGCACAATTCTGTATTCCAACCGTGCAACCCCACTCCTTTTGAAAATATACCAGAGATGAAGAACTGCATTTTCCAACAAAGAGAAAGCCCACAATGAAAAGACCACAATGAAAGAGGACCGGGAAGTAGAGGGAAACCACAAAGCCTGGAGGTTAGGAGGGAAAAAAAAAAAAAAAAAAGGTTATTCCTGTCAGGTCTCGGGACTTCAGCAGACAAGTGAGAAAATCACTTGAGATTTTTGAGAATCATACCCAGAGAAGTTTGGTAAAATTGCAGGCATACACTTATTTGATAAAATATGTGCTAACTTCTTTATGTGCTAGGAAACTTTTGTTTTTAGGTGAACCACACATACTTGAGATGCGCCTAAAAAACTTGCTACATCAGGACAAAAAGGTATGTGGTCCATGTTACTTTGACAGAAGAGAGTGTTTTTGTATACTTCACCAATTAGTACCTAAAGCCAAGTATATACACAGGTCAACTAAAATATCCTACCAGAGGGAGTCTGGCCGTTAATGCTAAGAAGCATGAAACATTTAAGGTAAGAAAGATCATATAGAAAAGCAAGCAGAAAGCGAAGCCTTTTTAATCAATCACGTATTAAGCTTGAAAGATGTAATATAACAAGCGACTCAATAGGTGAGGTGAAGAGGAGATCCACAGGATATCAAATTTACAATATAGAGATCAAAATCTCTTACTGAGTCATTTCCAATAGCTTGAGAAAGAAAATCTTTGCCATTCTCAGAGATCAA